CCATTGCACTCTCTTCATTTTTCTTTTCAATAGCCAAGTGCAACGGCGTCTTCAGGGTCCGTGAAACTGCTAACCAGGGCTCGTTATCATAAAATCGTGCTTGCCGTGGTCCTAGCCATGGTTTGCCCATGTCAAGAATTTGTCGAACGAGTTCCACACTTTTCGACTTTACCATGGCCGCAACATGAAGAGGATTCCAATTATTCCTCTCATCTTGTTGGCAAAGCAGGGCTTGTTGGAGACCTTTAGGTAATATTTCTTTTGCTTCTTCTAAAAATTCGATCCTACCATTCCATGCTGCGAGGTGGAAGATATTGCCTGCTGCAACACTTCCATCCGTAGGCATGGATTGATTACGGAAGTATTCTTTTGGTATGTTTTTATTAGCTAATGAGGCTAGTTTTTTGAGGAACTTTATATCACCTGAGCATGCTGCTTCTTTCATCTCCAACCCCATTGATTTTATTTTCATGTTCATGTTTGCTTTTGATCTTTTTTTTTTGACAAAGTGCTTTTGATCTTTTCTAAATTAATGGTTCTTTGTGTTTGATTCTTGTTATAAAGCATCATTAAAGTAAGTACGGCAATAATAATAGAATGGTTTGTGATACAAGTGGTGTATTTTTGACTTTTAATGGTCATTTTTACTAACAAGTGGATTGGATAAAAAAGGATGTGAAAGCAATGCTATAACAACTTCAACGCTAAAAGGTTGTAAGCGTTGAGCGTGATGGGGCTAGAGGTGTTAATTGGGATACCTAGGTGGGTAGGTCCGGTTGGTTGTATTTCAAAGTTGAGTTATGCTAAACTATTGTGTTTATATAAGTTAAAATCTTAATCATCCATGTTATCTAAGGTCAGATAAAATTGGGTTGATCATGTCAGTTTTTGACACCTTTAGATGGGTCAATTAATAAGACTAGCTCATGCAACTTTTGAGAAAAGAAAAAGGGAAAGTTGGCATCTACTATACCACAAATAGGGCCTTTTGAAAACTACTACCCATTTGCAATCATACCAATTACTCCCTCTATGTTTTAAGTGTTACATTTTGACCAAACATTTTTGTCAAAACACAACTTTGACCATTTATTTATTATTTAATTACATATTAGTAAAACTATAGGAAAATTGATATTATGAAATAGATTTGTATTTAATATATTATTAAATTAATCAAGTCAAAGTCATTATGTGAATAGTGAAAAAGTTGAAAGTGTAATACTTATTAAAAACACGAGGGGTACATTGGTTTTGTGGATAGTAATTTTCAAATAATGGCCCTATTATGGGGTAGTAAATGACAAATTTTCTAAAAAAATTATCAAAGATTTATGCTTTACTATCTAGTCTCTACACCTTTAACTTTTGACAATGACTAACTCTAATTTGACTAGTTTTTATGATTTATATACATAGTATACGATTAAAAAATAGTTAAATGATCAATGTAGAAAGGGTTCAATCTCATATTCTCGTATATTGGGTACTATTGTCATTTATCAAATTTGTTTTAACCAATTAATCTAACTAACACCCATCCATACTAGTTAATTATTGTGATTATACTATTTCAATGTTGAAGTTTGAGTTCTTTTAAATAAGGAAAATTTACTTCTAATACTCCAACCTTTGCCCAATTCTCCCAAAACACACCAACCTTTTGATTATTCCATATTACACCAACCTTTATCCCCCATCTTCCCATATTACACCTAGGTAACAGGCAACCGGCTATGGAAGTCAACACCTTTTATTTTGAGGTCTGTTGACTTTACACGGTTCATTTCCCTCTCAAAATTTAACTCCCTCCTAAATTCCCAACCACTTGTGTCAATCACCATTAATGACTGAGCTTGCCGACCTCACTCTCCAGCAATATTTACTGCGCTCCCTCCTATTTACTGAATTGCGTAGGTCTCTCTCCTCCATTTACTGCTCTGAGTTGCTTCACCTACATTCGTACCTGGTGAAATCAGCGAGGATTTTTCACAGCGAGGAATTGGTGGTCCTGCAATCCAAGGTGTACGCTTGGAGGTATGTGCCCTAAAAACCTTGCCTTTTTTGGTTAATTTGATATTAACTGCTCTTAATTGTCTATTTTTGGCTTGTTAATGTGTAATTTAATTGAATTTGATTTTTGGGATTAACATGTGTAGTTGAATTGTTTACTGCATGTTTTCCTTTTTTTTGGTATGTTGATGTAATTCAATTGGTGAAATGTGAAATTGAAAGGGAAAATTTGTGTATGTTATTGGAATCCTATGTTATTTGGCTGAAATTTGTTTGCTTTATTGTTGGAAATGGTTAGATGGAAGACCCTTTTGCTGCTATTACTCTGAAATACTGGTATGGTGGGACTTTTAAATCTGTTGCAAATGGGGAGTTGGTTTATTTAGGTGGGAAAGGGAGGACATTTAACATTGACCCTGATATGTTGTGTTGGTAGTGGTTAGAGGATTATGCAAAGAAGTGTGATGGTGTTGGGAACATAGAGTTTCTGTATTACTTAGTTCCTGGTCATACTTTGGTGAATGGTTTGAGGAAGGTTTATTCAGATGTTGAGGTGTTGGAGTTACAAAAATTATGTTAGCAATATAGGTGTATTGAAGTGTATGTGTGTGGTGGTGTTGAAATTTCAAACTTATATCCTTCTAACCAACCAATTCAACAAACAAATTGTCAACCTTTGGAAAGTGAAGTTCTAACTAAGAAACTTCAAATAAAGAGGGGCCCACATAATACTTTATTAAAACCACATGCATCCAACCAGAAAGATGCTTCTGCGTCTGAAGGTGTGACTGGTACTTCTTCCACAGTCACACAACAACAAAACACAACCCATCCTAGCCCTAAAAGGAAACCAAAGCAGAAAAAAACCATAAAAGTACCCACCTCACCTCTAGATCCAACCTCCCAAAACCTTGTTCCTTTCACTTCCTTTAACTCTGAAATTATCCCTATTCTAAATCTAGATCACTCTAATCCACAGATTCATACTAAAGAGGATGATCTGTGGCTGGATAACAGACCAGAGAGTCCATTAGACTGGGATACACTGTTAAACTACAGTGACAGTGGTGAGGATTCAGATCCACCATATTGTCCTGAAACTGATAAGGGGAAAGGGATTGTGGTGGAGGGTGGGGAAAGGGATGACTTTGACAGTAGCTCAGAACCAGATGATGACTTAGAAGGTGGTGAATATGATGATGAGGGTGGAGAAGACTAGTGGAATGAGGAGCTTAATCAAGATGATTATGATGGATTTCTATCAGATGTAGAGGATGATGAGTATCAAACTGCAAAAGAGAGAGTCAAGAGATGTACTGCCAAGTTGGTGCATATAGCAGAACAGCTCCAACTAGAAGCAGCAGAAGGAAAGCTACAGAGTCAGCAAAGTGAGAAACAAACAGATGGTGGAATTAAGTCTACAGATGGGGGTTATGAGAGTGAATATGATGGGAGTGAGGATGATTTGAATACTCCACCAGGAAGTGGAGATGAATTAACTAAAGAGGAGAGAAGGAGAAGGTCTGGGATTCTTGTAAGTAGTGACACTGATTTTAGTCTGTTCAATTGGAAAGTAGGGCAAAGGTTTTCTTCAAGAGAAGCTTTTAGAGATGGAGTTGCAAAATATGCAATTCTTCAAGGTAGGAATTTGACTTTTGAGATTAGTGATTTGAAAAAAAATCAAAGATTAGGAGTTAGGTGTGTGGAGGGTTGTGGTTTTTATGTGTATGGTAGCTGGGATTCAAGGAGAGCTACATTTGTGGTGAGAAGAGTTGATAGTGAACATACATGTTACAGAAACATGAAAAAAAAATAGGCAACTGAAATCAACCTGGGTGGCTAAACAATTTCTGGAGGTGTTTAAGAATAGACCTCACTGCCAGCCAAGGAGATTGTTGAGACTGTGAAGAGGGCATTTAAAGCTGTGATTAGGAGATCATTTTCTTACAAGGTGAAATATGCAGCCCATAAGCTGCTTCATGGGTCCATGTATGAACATTACAATAAGTTGGGAGGATACATAGCTGCTTTGAAGGCAACCAGTCCAGGGAGTAGTTTTGACCTTGTCACTGTGACAACCTTGACTAAACAGCCACATAATCTAGTGTTTCAAAGGCTCTTTACCTGTTTTGAAGGGTTACAAAATGGTTGGAAAGTTGGCTGTAGAAAGGTCATATGTGTGGATGGCTGTTTCTTGAAGACATTTTTGGGAGGCTAACTTCTGAGTGCTGTGGGAAGAGATGGGAACGACCAGATGTATCCCATAGCTTGGGCAGTGGCAGAAGGAGAGAATTCGATGTCCTGGGAATGGTTCTTTCTGAATTTGCAGAGATGCCTTGAGCTGGGAGAAGGTGAAGGTATATGCATTATTTCTAATGAGCACATGGTAAGCTTAGTCTTTATTTCTCTTGTTTTTTACACTTTTAATAATTGTCCTTTATATGGTGTTTAGTCTTTATTTTGGTCTGTGTTTGTTATTCCAGGCAATTTTGAATGCTGTCAAAACTGTACTCCCTAAAGCAGAGCACAGACATTGTGCTAGGCATGTGTTTTCTCATTGGCACAAAACACATAAGGGAGATGAGTTGAAGTTGCAATTTTGGACAATTACTAAGTCCTACAACATGGCAGATTACAAGGAGGGATTAGAAAAACTTGAGCTGATGGATGCAGAGGCTGCAGCTTCTTTTAAGAGTTACAACCCTCAGTTATTCTGCAGGGCGTTCCTTGACAGTTCTGTGAATTGTGATGCCATTACAAGCAATATGGCAGAGACCTTCAACGGTTACATCATCAATGCCAGAACAAAACACTTGATCTACATGCTTGAGGAGATCAGAATAGCCCTTATGCAAAGGCTAGTTGTAAAGAGAATGGAAATGCAGAAGTGCAAGGGAGTTTTATGCCCAAAGATTCAACAAAATCTAGACAAAGAGAAGTCTAAGGCTGCCTATTGTGATGTTGCCCCTTCATCAGAAACTCTGTTCAATGTGAACTACAAATTGGATCAGCTAGTGGTCAATCTGGAAGCCAAGACCTGTACATGCAGGAAGTGGGACATGGTGGGTGTACCATGTTGTCATGCTGTGGCATGCATATTTTTCTTGCATCAAGAGGCAGAGGCTTATGTTGACAGCTGCTATAGGAGGGAGGTTTACTTGCAGGCATATGCAGGTGGACTCTTCAATCTCATTTTTATCTCTTTTTTTTTGTTATTTTTTTTTTTCTGCCCTTTCATATCCCTCTTTTAATGTCTTATGACATGTGCGGGTTCCATACCACCTTGTGAGGGGGAGAGACACTAGCCTACAGTGAGTTGGAGTGTTGATCCTTCCCCTATCAAGATAGGTCCTGGTAGACCTAGGAAAAATAGGATCAAAGATCCATCATAACATCCTAAAAAGCCTGGAACCTTGACTAAGGCTGGCATGGGAATGACTTGCAGTGTTTGCAAGGTGAAGGGCCACAATAAAAGGAGGTGTCCAAACAAGGACACAGTTGTTCCAACTGAACCAGCCCCTAAGAAACCAAAGGGAAGGCCTAGGAATGATGCCCATGCACCTCAGTCTGCACCTAACCCACCAACATATCCTACCACCTTGGGAGCAGCACCTGCAACTTCTTCTTCCACTGTGCAGCAGCCATCAGCTCATCTTAGTGCTACTGCACAACCAACCCAGCTGGGAAGAGGTGGGAGAGGTTCTAGGGGAGGGAGAGGTTCAAGAGGAGGGAGAGGCTCTAGGACAGGCTCAAGCCAAGTTGGTGATGGAAGGGGCAGAGGAAGGCTACCTCATGGAGTTAGTGTCATAATTGGAGCTGATGGAGGTGCTTACACTCCAGTAAGTTCTTTTTTTTTTTTAATTTTTTTTTTAACCATAACTTGATGTGTCATGCTTCTCTAACCATAAATTGATGTGCCATGCTTTCCTACATGGACTTGGTCAACCTAGCCAACAGGGTCAGTCAGGCAACCATGAGTTTGGGACTCAATCAAGTCAAGTCTGAGAGCATACCAAGTGTTAGGTTAGACATAGTTGAATGAAGTTTATTTGGGTGCTGTATTTTTAAACTATCATCTTTTGGAAGGAAACAATGGTCTAGTTTTATTAGGGTGGAACTGTAATGTTTTGGAACCAATGTCTTTACTTTGATGTACTAACCTGTATGCACTTATGCTACTTTCTGATACATGCTTTTGTCTATCAAATACATTACTTTCCTACTAATTAAGAACATGAAATAACCAAGCATCAACAAAATACATCATTTCATTCATACTTAATTCCAAGGTTCATACATCATTTATAGATTATTAGATTATTTCCACAATAACCATGAAATCATACATTGACACATTACACAGCATACTACCTACTCTTACTTCCAAGGTTCATACCATACTACCTACTCTTACTTGCATTACACAACAACAACAAACACAAAAAAAAAAAAAAAAAAAAAAAAAAAAAAAAAAAAAAAAAACCATGAAATCACAAATGCCATTGACACATTCTTCTCCATCCTTGCACTCTTCATCAGCTCAATGCGCAATTGGGTAACCTCAGCAGTCAACTTCTTAGTCTCTTCCTGGAGCTTACTCTTTGTCACTTCCAGCTTATTCACTTTCTCTTCAATCAAGCTCTTCTCAAGCTCCAATTCAGCAATTGTTGTATCTTTTTCAAACAATTGAAATCGAAGCTCATCAGCTATTGCATCACCACCTTCAGCCCACTTGAACAACTTACAATCTGTATCCTACAAATCATAAACACCACAAATTAATGATGTTAATTATCAAAGCCCTAATTCATCTCAAACCCTAATTAATCATAAACACTAATGAATTAATTCCTCTAATTAATCTTTACAGGCCATAGTGGACAACTATGGAATTTCTTTCCCAAATTAGGGCCTTTCTTCACAGTGCGCACAACAGCCTCCCTTCCACAATTGCACCTAATACTTGCCACAAAACCACTATTGGTTGAAGAAGATGAACCAGATCGTTGTTGATGCTTTCCCCTTTCCATTACCAAGGCAAGAGTGAAGACAAAAAAGAGTTATCGAATTCAACAAAGGAACGTTTGAGGGAGGAAGAAGAACAGGGGGGTGGGTTTTTAATTTTAATCGAACGAATATTGGGACATTATTTTAAAAAGAAAGAATTTTTAAAAAGGGGGGTAACGGTCAGTGCCACGTAGGACAGGAAATCGGCTTAACCTGATAAGTTACCTGCTAGGTGTAATATGGGAAGATGGGGGATAAAGGTTGGTGTAATCTGGAATAATCAAAAGGTTGGTGTGTTTTGGGAGAACCGGGCAAAGGTTAGAGTATTAGAAGTAAATTTTCCTTTAAATAAAAGATGTCACCTTCAGTTCTATGTATGCATGTGATTGTTTAGACCTAATGCATTATGTTAGTATTCATAGTAGATTTCCAAAGTTGACGGTATAATTTTATCATTGCCAAACATTTAATTTGTCTTTCTTTATTTTAAAATTATAATATGAGCTCATATTACTATGTTAATGCAAATTTGCTGATTTCAAACTATAATTAAGTTATCGAAACACACAATACAATTTTGAATAACATATGTTACATAAGAAGTTTAATTTTTAATTGTCAACTGACAAAATTAATGTAATTTAAAATTATCAAATAAATTACCAAGAAACGAAATAAGAAGGTGAGATTATGCTTAGCATAATGATAATAAGCTTATAAGAAAATGAAGATTAAGATGAGTGTAATAAGGTGTTACATGATCACGCTTATTGTACTAACACTCTCAAATGTTGTAAATGTAGCAGGAAGTCAAGAAAGGCCTCTTCTTATTAATTTGGGAGACGCTAATTCAGATACCGGCGGCGTGCTAGCCGGTGCTGGACTTCCCATTGGCCTGCCCCATGGAATTACATTCTTCCACAGGGGCACCGGTCAATTTGGTGATGGTCGTCTCATTATCGACTTCTACTGTAAGTACGTATATGTACACGTACACCCGTTGTGCACAAGTTTTTGCCATTCAATTTCTAGTTTCGAAAATTTATATGAAATAATGTAACAATATGTTCCTGCAGGTGAACACCTTAACTTGGGTTATCTAACCCCGTACTTGGAGTCACTTAAGCCAAATTTCACCAGTGGAGTCAACTTCGCCGTTAGCAGGTGCAACCCTGCTGCCAAAGTATGTCCCTTTTACCTTGAGTGTCCAAGTTCGCCAGTTTATTCACTACAAAAATCGGTCATTGGAGCTTATATCACAAGGTAGATATGTACCTTAAATTTCTTAGTAATGCTCATTTTGTTACATAACAAGTATATGTTACATGGAAGTTTCCTAAGCTCTAAAACTGATATATTTCATGCAGGAGCAAGGGACTTGATCAATGAGAGGGGATTCCGTAGAGCACTTTATATGATCGATGTAGGACAAAACGATATTCTACTGGCCCTATACGCGTCCAACATAACCTTTGAACCAGTTGCTCAAAAGATCCCATCCTTTCTCGAAGAAATTAGATTGGCTGTCGACGTAAGTTCTTAACTTGTGCATTATGTGCTCTCTTCATCAGAAATAAGGTGATCTAAAATGACTTGATTAAGATCTAGTTTGAATGTACGTAGTCTAGTCTGGAATGGTTTGATTATAAAAGAAGGAAACCATGTAATAAATCTTGTAAACAAAGAATATATTGTTTTTGGATCAAATTTAGTAATGAATTAGACATAGGGTGAAGCTTAGCTTTTGTTTTGGACAACTTTCAAGCTCACTCTAAGGTGAATGGTTAAAAACTGCAGACAATCTACCAGTATGGTGGACGAAAATTTTGGATCCAAAACACGGGGCCTTTAGGCTGTCAGCCCAAAGAACTTGCCCTGCATCCTCATACTGATGATGACCTTGATGATATTGGATGCTTTCGTGTTATCAACCAAGCAGCAACAGCGTTCAACGAGGGGCTTCGTCTGCTCTGTGAAGATCTAAAATTGGTGTACAAGGATGCTGTTATCGTCTATGTCGATGTATATTCTATCAAGTACAGCCTATCTGCCAACCCTGAAGAATATGGTAATAACATTCAGAGCTTAATCTTAATCTTGGCTGTTTTAATCGACAAATTTCATCCTCATTTTTGTTTTAACCAACCTTACAGATAAAAAGCTTACTCTTTTAACTGTCAAAAGTTAATGATACTGTGCATTGACTTAGGTTTCAAAAAACCATTCACTGCTTGCTGTGGTCGTAAGCTTCCAAACAACTATGACAGAAACGCAACGTGTGGACAGCCAGGCTCTACGATCTGCAAGAATGTGTCACAGTCGATAATTTGGGATGGAGTTCATTATACTGAAGCAGCTAATCGCATTGTTGCAACAAAGATACTGTCAGGAGAATATTCTACCCCACAAATGAAGCTTGAGCAGTTCTGGGATCTGCACTAGGAGCAAATCTGAGCTGCACCCATTATGTATTTTCTTTAAAATAAAAGCTTTTTTCTTCTGTATTCAAGCCAAAAATGATTTATGAATTCCCTATAAGTAACGCTATCTTAGAGTTTCGATAAGAGGATAATTTGTCGAAAATCCTACAAGCAATTTGTTCAGGGAAAATGAGAACCAGAAGTTTAATCCATGAAATTGAAGTATCAGTGGAACTAAGCAAATGCCATTAATTTCAAAGTTTCACAACTCTACTTGTGTTAGTTATCGTCTACCAGCCGTCATTTAAACTGCATAAATTTTAGAAGGCGAAGCCACCAGTCCAAATACACGGCGTCAATGATTAAATTTTGATAACTTAAATGGCAAATTAACATAAGCAATAGCAAGTATGTACTCACTTAGCTTGGTCAAGAATCAAAATGAGCAGCACAGCATGTTTAACCAGACAATGATTGCAAAGCTCATTCAATTATATAGCATAAATTCAATAAACAGGACTGTTAAAAGAAACCCAAGAAGTCTAATTGCATAAAATTTAATTTTAAATCACATGATAACACTTAATCAAAAGGCTACTAGCAATGACAAACTTTAGATGGGTTTAGCTAGTCAAGACTTGTAATAATTATATTGTATCACAAGTGCTATTGAGATTAAAACAAAAATCTGAAAGATTTTGAATGTAAATACATTATCATAGCTTTACAATACTGATGTGGTTTGTCGGACATGTTTTAGCAGCATCTATCATCTATGAGTTAACTGTCAAGTATGGTAACGTCTAAACTTCTCTGCAAATAACTACCGTCCTACATTATAGTAATGCTAAAGAGTAAGTTGGACAAAGGAAAAACCTGCATTTGTTTTCTGTACATCTTTGGATTATACAACGCATTATTCTTGCCCATGTTGTGTGAGTGACTTCGCCTGACAAACCTCACATACAAATCCTAGTGAGCCAAGAGGACCAAGTTGCTCATCAGCATGTCGAGGGAAAAATGGCTTGTTACAGTGATTACATTTTGGAAGGCGAAGCCAGCAGTCTAAACAAACAACGTCATTGCATATAGTTTCTCCTTGATCATCCTCGTCTTCGTCAGAAACGCACCTCCCACAAACTTCACACCTCAGTATGCACTGGATGCAGCCAATGCATTCAGTCTCCTTGGGGCAATGAAAGACTAACTTGACCTCTTCACATTTAGGACATACCTCTACATCAATCATTCTGGCATCCTCGTCTATGCTACGAAAAGAGGAACTCCAGTATTTGTGATAGAACCTAGGCTTGTTTTCTGGAGTTTTAGTGATACAGGACTCCAGTATCAGCAGGTGTTCTTTCTTGATATTGTAAATGCCATTGATCTTTATCCTAATTAATGCGGTTGAATTTCGCAGCTAAAGTTTCTACTGCCCTGAGTACTCCTTCAGGAGTTATTCCAGTACAATCAGGTACAAAGAGCTGAAATATATATCAAATCAAAATTTATACTATGGGATTTATGAACTTAGATATTCAAAAATTCATTAGTCTAACCATTAAAATGATGATTAAATTAATATGGTTTACATAACTTTTCAAACAAAACCTCTTAAAAGTGATGGTTTATCACATTATCAATTGAAATGATCATATTAAGAACAATGCATGAATACAAGCTATATTGCATTTATAATAAGTATTGTAGCTAATCTTATTTTATATAAATAAAAACATCCTAATACCCGCTAATTGATCGAATTCTCTAAACAAAACCGAAACCCCCCTATTACCTAAAATCAAATCACGTCTTTATCATTTGCTTTCTCTTCATCTAATGAATGTCTCGTACTTGTTTAATGAAAAAGCTTATTAAAAAAAACAAAAACCAATAAAGGTTATAAGAGTTACCTTAGTAAGAAGTGGATTTGCGATAACAACCTTCAATAATCCATCATCAGTAATCTTAAAACAATTTAGCAGAGCCAAAGTTCGAAGCCTGCCATGAGCTTTAGAGGTAATGTTCATCAAAATTCGATCGGTAAGGCGTCTACTCAACGGCTTTTCCACCACCAAATTGAGCCATACTAAAACATCATCCCTGATAGAATCTCTAAGTGACTTGCAAAGTTGGCTCATTTGCAGGAATTGCTGTAATGGAAGATAGGCTAACACAAAGTACAGTGCTTGGTGTGGTGGTCCAGCTACTTCCATCGCTTCTATTCTATGCGACGTCAAAGCTGGATTATTTGACTGAATTGGAAGGTTGGTAGTGGAGTGGAGAGGAGAGGGGTAGGATGAAATAACAAGGTAATGTTCTGGTCCACACGTATAGTGATTAGTTGATGAACAAGGATGTATAGTTGAACGTGGCGTTGTTGACGTACTTACTATTTTAGGATGTCTAGAAAATTAATAGATGATACTTAAATAATACTTTCTCTGATTTTCTAATATTACAACATAAGGTTGGACACGGATTTTTAGAAAAATGAGAGATGTATACAAGAATAAAGATAGAGACTCGTGTGATGACGAGAAAACCTGTAGAAATAAAAAAAATGTTGCAATATTTGTAAAACTTTCTAAAATGGTAATTATTGTAATACTACCTCCATTACAGTCTTATAGATTATGTGCAACGATTAGACATTTTCCCTCTCTGCTTTATGTCAAATCATTATCGTTACACATAACCTGTAACGGAGATAGTATTAGGTTCTGTGAATTAATGGTTTAGATTGACTTTCCAACCCTTTAATATGACTTAACCTGAAATAGACTCAAACGACTAGAAACTCGAATGAGATCCATAGAGAATCAGCCAAATAAACTAATCTGAACGACCCATTTGGCACTCTTAATCAATTATCCCTAAATTAAATGGAGTAATAAGTATAACCATATTCAAAACTTCAAACTTTTCAAGTCTCTTTGGTTAAGCAACATTCATATCACGCCTGGCAATCGACAAACGTGAACATTGTGGCAATTAAAA